TATATATATATATAAATTAGAAATGTTGCCTTGGATAATTTAAAGAAAAATAAATAAATTACAGAAAAATAAATTAAAGCTAAATATAAATATTTAAAAAGCTAATGAAAATAAGAAAACCACATACAATTACTAAAATGTAACATAAAATGAAAAAAGGAAATATAAAATAAAAGCTAATCCAAAATAGTGATAGTATATTAAAATTAGGGTACTAGTGGAGATGACAGTTGCTCATGACAGTTTAGGAAGAATAAAGACAACTAGTCTGTAACTATCCAGTAAGTATGTTTTAAGGCCAAAAGTGCACACAGTTGAAGAAACACCTATAAATGATCAATTAGTAAGATGATCAATTAGTAAGATGGAGTATTTCTATCATAACCGTTTAACCATGAGATGCCTCTTAACTTAGCTCTTGTAATGCTTGCATAATCATTTTGACAGACCGTGATGGATGGCAATCAGTAATGTCATGCTAAATTGTGAGTTCATAAATTACATAACTGTGCTGCTGATAATGATCAAAGTAAACCGAAATGAATGAATGTGAGTGTTATTTTATCTAAAGTATCAGTAGAAGTATTAGTCCAGCAGGGGGCGACCCGCACTACATTAAAACATGAAGCGACTCAATGGTGCACTGCTGCATAATGCAAGACACACATGAAATGAGAGTCAAATCATGAAAACATGGTGAACTGGTGGTTTTTAATGGAAAACCATACAGTATTAAGCTGCTTTAGAACAAATGATTCAAATACATACTGAGCAGCATTTAACACTCAGTCAGCATAGGTCTGTTATCACACAGCAGTACACCAACACTCACTGCTTATCCAGATATTCTGGCAAACTCAGTGTAAACAAATACTGAGTTTGTGTTTGAGCGCTCACCTCCTCTGTTAGGAATAGTGCTGACATATCAAAGAGAATATTTGTCTTTGGAGATCACCACTTTATGATTTGATTGCCATAATGTCATTGGGTATACAGTTGCAGAGGAGGCTATCCTCAACCGTGAGAAAGTATGTTTGATAAACGCACTTATGGAAGGAGGAGAACATCTAAATAAAGACAAATGCACTGAAAGATTTAAGAGGCAGGAAACGGAGCAGCACGGCAGTGGGATAGAAAGAAAGAACGAACGGGGGAGAGAGCAAATGAATATGAGGCAAATCAACACATTAAAAATAAAGACTAGATGTAATAAACTTCAAGAAGAAAACCCAAACTGGGACTTCTGGGTATTTATTTCTTTGTTCTTGTTACTTGTAGGGTATTTGTTTGTCATTTAATTGCTTGTTACTTTAACTGAATTCCCTCAATGTCTTGGAGTGCTTGAAGCGAGGGGAGTTCTGGGATGTTTTCGTTCACTCACCTGCTGATGTAGGAATCAGGTAATCTGCTGTCCGTCGGAGATCCGATGTCTCTGCTGGAGCATTTCTCCTCTCCTCCATGTCCACTGCTGGCCTCACTGTCTGCCTTCTGGCTCAGAGTGTCAGAGAAGGTGTCATCCCTGTAAAACAGCAAACAAGCAGTTATTATAACCTATTTACACGCATTAGGCTTAGTTTAATGTTTAATCGCAAACTGTTTCACGACAGACAAGAAGAGCTCCAAGTGTCACCAAAACAAGTTCAAGTTCAAGTTCAGTTTTATTTCTAGAGCACATTTAAGCACGAAACAAGGCCGACCAAAGTGCTGCACAACATACAATAATATATAACAAGGAAAAAATCAGAAAACAAATAAAAACAATTCAAAATCCATACAACAGCAAAAGCAGATTAAAACAATTCAAAGGCGCAGATTACTACATGTTAAAAGCCAGAGAGAAAAGATGTGTTTTAAGATATGACTTGAACTCAGATAAAGTAGAAGCCATTCTGATGTGAATTGGTAAGTTGTTCCAAAGGGTGGGGCCAGCCACTTCAAAGGCTCTAGATCCTCTGGTTTTTAAGCGTGTTCTAGGGGTCTGAAGGAGAAATTTGCCCTCTGATCTTAGTCCCCTCTTCGAGGAGTAGGGGTGGAGTAAATCAGACAAATAAAGTGATTTATAGACAAGTAGCAATATTTTAAACAATTCGATAGTGAACTGGCAGCCAATGCAATGATCGCAAGAGGGGAGTGGCATGATCAAACTTTTTACACCGCTTCAAGAATCTAGCTGCAGCATTTTGAACTACTTGTAGCCGAGAGATTTGGGACTTTGATATTCCGAAATAGAGGGCGTTGCAGTAATCCAGCCGAGACGTAATAAAGGCATGGATAGCAACCTCTAGAGAGCTTTTTGAGAGAAATGACTTGATTTTAGAAAGGGAGCGAAGATGGAAGAAGCTAGAACCTACTACAGCACTAATTTGTTTATCAAATTTTAAGGAATTATCAAACAACACACCCAGATTTCGAACATGGGGAGAAATGAAGGAGTTTAAGGTCCCGAGATTGGGTTGAATACTTGCCCTATGTTCTGAGGGACTAAAAACAATAACTTCCGTTTTATCTGGGTTCAAGAATAAAAAGTTTTTAGAAAGCCATGATTTGACATCAGTAAGACAAGCAGTAAGAGTATCACTGGTAAAGTTTGTTTTCTTAGTCAGAGGCAAATAAATTTGTAGGTCATCGGCGTAACAGTGAAAAGAGACGTTGTGTTTTCTAAAAATAGAGCCCAGAGGAAGAAGATAAAGAGAGAAGAGAGCGGGAGATAAGATAGAACCCTGAGGAACTCCACAAGTTAGGTTGCCTGTGGTCGAGTGAAAACTTCCAGTTTTTACCACAAATCTCCTGTTTGTAAAACACATTCCAAAATTCAAGTTGGCCACTGGTTTGTATCACTAAGCTTTTCCTTTTCACTCAATACTCCCCAATACACTGAATGTAGGGCTGCATGACTTGGGTAAAAAAAAAAAAATGTATATATATTATTATATTATTATTATTTTTATTTTATTTTTTTCAAATAAAAATTGTGATTAAAAAGAAGCTAAAAGTTTGCTATGCTTGCTTGTAGGACTGCACAATTTAACTAAAATTTTATAATTATGTCACAATTAACAATAATAATATTAATCATTATTATTATTTGTTTTTTTATTATAAAAAATACTGCTTAGTTTAAAGGACTGCACAATTTAGTAAAATATGTTGTGATTATATATCAATATGACCACATAAAAAAAAAAATAATAACTATTATTTTTTTTTTATTATTATCATCATTTAAAAAAAACTACAGGTTTGCTGTACAATTTGTTCAAAAAACGCAGTGATTACATCAATACGACTAGAAAAACATTATTTTTTTTTTATATTATCTTTATTATTATTATTAAACATTTTGTGAATATATACTGTATCACTATGACTATAAAAACAACTTTTTATTTTTTAAATATATCATCTCTCATTTTTAGTTTCCACCTTGTTTGTCACTAACCTTTCCTGGGTGGTGCAAAAAGCACCAGCAACGTTTCAGCAATGTTTAAAAGCAATCAAACGCAAGGACTGTTTTCCTGCTGAAGGCTCAAACATGATAACATCGAAATTTGCTTTTACTATTTTTGCTGTTTACGATGTATATTTCCTGACTAACTTGCAACCTTGTAACATTGCCCTTCTTCAATGCTTTCATGTGAAGGTCAAGCAGTACGTGATGCTTGTGTAGAGTGGTGCGTTAAAGCCCTGACACGAGGCCTGTGAAAGAGACTTGTAGAGCATATAAAGCTCCACAAATCCTGTGTAAAAATCACAGCTGCTGATGCAGCCTATTGGACAGAACATTAGGTCACATGTGCATGTTTTCTAGCACCAAACAGGCATTTCTATCAGCTGTGAGGTGAATTCTCTCCATTGCATGCGTGCCATAGAGGATATCCTGTGTGTATGAGCGTGTGTGTGTGTGTGTGTCTTTCGCTCTCTGGCTCTTTTATTGGACTGACGCTGCTGGTCTAGGGCCTCTTAAACTCCCTCACTACACCAGGCTGTAAATTCTCTCAGTGCCACGAGCCAAGAACACACATCAACAGAGGGTCACGACGTGAATTATTGATACACACACACAGTGGGCTGGTATGGGCTCTGTTGTTGGCGTCACTCAGTACTGTGCCCGATCCATTAGATTTGCCCCCTTTATGAGCCATAATTTGTTCAACTAGGCTCCAATGGTTGCCCAGGCGGAACAAGTTGTCATGACCATAAAGGGATTTACCAGGGGAGATGGTCCACCGCAGAGTGCTGCAACTAAACTCAGATGTGCCTCGGTTTTGTTCCAAATCTAACTAGCTGCCTACCTAGACAACATTTTAAGGCTTCATAGATTACTCTTCTGTGTAAGTAGGCATTTACTTCCTTGCTACAAAGTATGCAAAAAGCAGTACATCAAAGCTGTATTTGCAAATACACAGTATTCAAATGGAAGATAGAGTACATCCAGATTGTAATATAGAACATATTTTATTAATGTTAAATTTCTTAATTTTGGAAACAGCTAGTTCATCTCTTGAGGTGAAGGCAATCCCAGAATGCAATGCGAGAAACTCAGTGAAAAAATAAAATAGTGAACAAAAGAAATAATATTACACTATACATAACTAGGGTTAAAAAGACTTAACAATATTAAAATAAATAATAATTCTGGCCATAAATATGGACTGTTTGATGAATAAAAAAATTATTAACAATAAATTCACTACCCCGGTGCCAATGAAAAATGTATTTAAAATATTATTTAATATTGTTAATATAAATATTACATATTATTTAAAATATTTTATGATGATTCTATATTAATTTGACAATCATATATGTAAACAGTCTAATGATTAAAATTTTTTTACGTGATTGTTATTTATATATATATATAATTTCTGTGCAATTAGTTAAAGTTTTATTAGATTCACAACCCTAATATATACTACATTAATAAATACTCTTGCTATCACCTACCTTTTATATTTTCCATTTTACACACATTATATCTTATCTTAATTTTTTATTAGATTTTATATATTGTGTTGTAAAACAATAAATTGTATTCTGATTTACATAAACTTGCTGATTTTTTCTAATTTGTTAAATATTATGTATTTTTACTCTATGTACAGAGAGTAAAAAGCTTTTCACTGCAAATCAATTTAGAATCGGAATTCGAATTATTGTAAATTATAATTATATAATACTAAAAAGGACTGAACAGACTAATACTCAAACACAGATAAATCTATTCAGCCCAATATATGTGTGTATTTATTTATTTGTATGTATTTTCTTGCCTGGTTAAATAAAGGTTAATAACATCGAACTCTGTTGAAGCACTATTATTTGTATTGTTGTATCACTGTAGAACAGTAGAGATACTCACATATCCTGTACAACGATGTACTGGTGAGGCACTAGTCCATCTATGCCGTTGTGTCTACCCTCCCACCAGTCATCCGACGCTCTCTGATACAGCAGTAGAGACGCACCCTTCTTAAAGGAGAGTTCCCGTGCAGAACGGCCCACATAATCAAATTTTGCAATGGCTTCAATGGGCTCCCCCTCTGCAGGAAAAAAAACAAAAAACGTCATGGTTAATTCAGTGGATAAGGAGAGCGGAAATAGATGTCAGTGGCATCATCAGCAGCAGCTTTCCATTGGAAAATATCCAATCATAACTTCTGTGTGATCAATTAGCTCTTCCGCATGAGTGGCATCACCCATTTCTGCACTTCTGACATATGCTATATGAAACGCCTAAAGGGAAAGAATATGGAGTTAACTGAACAACAGTTGGTGCTTTTTACAGTACCAAGTCTAATGAATCCATACAGTGCACATGCCTCAACTGCATCTGACCGTTCATTCACATGTGAATGAGAGCATTTCAATGCATCAACGCTATAGGGTCTCTGAGTAGCCGGTGTACATGCCGTTGCCGTCGTGACCCCCTTTACATAAGGACTCATTAGAGAGCCAACCGGCTTCAATGCATGCTGTTCTTGGACAAGAACGGGCTGTTCTTGTCCTCAGGACAATCGAGAAACGTGAACCTTACCAACATCTCAACGCCTGCCAAATGAGTGCCACACCTCTTACAAAACAGCACTGTGATATATTGGTGGTAATACTATGATGCTTGAGTCATAAGGTACAAGACACCATGCTAAATTATGAGAAATTTAAAAAATATATTTATTTTATTTATATAAATGTTTTAATATTTAAATGACACGTTTCAATATTTAATTAAAACATATTTAATAATTAATATTTAAATATTTATTATTAAATATTTAAATATTAATTATTAAATATGTTTTAATTAAATATTGAAACGTGTCAGTTAAATATTAAAACATTTATATAAATAAAATAAATATATTTTTTAAATTTCTCATAATTTAGCATGGTGTCTTGTACCTTATTAGATAACCTTAAGACTAACATATTGATACTAACACCCAAAAAAACTTTAATTTTGATTTCATGGAGACTTTAAGAAACAATCAAAAAAGTAAGAAAATCCAGACTATAACCTGATTAATTCATTTGTTTACGGTCCAAAACCTAGCTCACTCAGCGATACACGTTGTTCGGTAGTCTGTATTAAAGAGGTTGTAACTTTTGTTAAGGCACTATTTTTATTCAGACATTAAACAAGTGTTGTTCTTGCACCCGCTTGCTTTAGTTGATTGCACATTGTACCATATGGACTTCTTGTTGCCCCAGAGGAGAGCTAACAACCCATGCTAGGTTTTCTGGCTAAACATGCACTGCTCTAGCAGTAACTTCCCCACAAGCACCCCACAGTCTAGGAACAGAAGGAATAAAGGCTGACAGAGTAGAAAACTGTAAGCTGCATTTCCTGTTTTTGAATGTATTTAATAGAGAAAGGTTTGCAGACTGCAGGGGTGCTGCCATTTAGAAAAATGAGAAAATGAGCTTCTTGCAACATCATCAGGGACACGTTAAGAAATGTAACAAAGACCACATGTTTTTAACAGTTTAAAGGGTTTCTACTCAAAGGCTGGCATTTCAACAAAGCTTTGCTGTAAAACAGAAACATCCTAATTAAACTTAACATGAATTACAATTCAATACCCATTTGAATTATATAACGTGACTTATTTTATAGAGAACCCAAATATTCAAGAACAATTGGTATTTTAAGAACTGAAAAAAAGCAATAATGCGTAAGACATTAAGACTCATTTTCACAGTTTAAATGGAAATGTAAAATTATATTTAATAGATTTTTTGAAGCTTATAATTTAGGTCCCTTATCACACCTCACCTTATCTAATATTATGAAATATTTCTAAAATTTAAAATGTGTGTTCTGTATTAACTTATTTAAAAATGTAATTTATTTCTGTGATGGCAAAGCTGAATTTTCAGCAGCCATAACTAATGTCTTGAGTGTCACATGATCCTTCAGAAATCATTCTAATATGCTAATATGACATATGCTCAAGAAACATTTTTTTTTTTTTTATTATTATCATTGTTGAAAACAGTTTTGTTGCTTTCTATTTTTGTGGAAACGGTGACTTTTTTTCCCAGGATTTTTTGATGACTATAAAGTTCAAAAGTGCAGCATTTATTTGAAATAGAAATGTTTTGTAGCATTAGGAAGTGTCTTTACTGTTACTTTTGAGCAATTTAATGCATGGAGAAAAAAAAATCTTACTGGCCCCAAACTTTTAAATGGCAGTTATACATCTATAATATGTTTATCTATACAATTATTCTTGTATACATGTACAGATTTTTTAAGAAATTAGGAAATAAATAGGGCCATTTTTGATTTCATGTCGACTTTTAACTAGATATAATCACACAAACCAACATTTCCAAAACAAACAATATTCTTATTGTACATTGGTTTCCCACAGATGCTGAGATTTGTCTTTTTGCCTCCCAAGAGAGCATTCCGTCTGCTTATTCCAGTTCACTTGAATGAATAAATGGCTCTAAAGGCATAGCAGGGGTCCCGTCACTTGGCAAAGTGGTTTTCCAGACGGGCCCTAAAACGATCCCCCTTCAGACGCAGCGACTGAGGACAGATGCTGCACTGGTCACAGGTTTGAGCAGGCTGATATAATTATGCTTTGAGTTAACAGTACAGCCACTGGTTCCTCAGGATTGTTCATTAATGCAGATAAACGTCCAGAAACAGAGAGAAGATTTAGAAATAGAATACATTCCAAAATCCTTATTATGAAACAAGACAAAACACACAACAGGGCTCGAAATTAACTTTTTTACTTGGTAGCACTGGTGCTCCCAACTTCAAAAAGTTAGGAGCACCACCAAAAATTTAGGAGCACTCACCAAAAATGTATGAGCATCACAACTACAAATTATATATTAACAGATTTTATTCTTACATTCTTAACTTTAATGCAGATTTTGTATTGGTTAATATTAGCTGTCAATCTCTCAGTCACTGCTTTCCGCTAACTACCGAGTCGGGAGCATATGCGACCAAAATGGTCGCAATTTCGAGCCTTGCACAAGTTACCCATAACTGATATAAGACACAAGCTATGGTTGCAGTGTAAAGAAAGAGAATAATAATTCCTCTGCAGGGGAAAAACCTCCTCAATACATTCATAAGGAAAACATTTAGAGCAAAACCATGGCAGCTGAGAGCAATTTTACAATTTTCAGGACAGTTATGATTCAGGCTGACATTGATATCCGACATCTGCGTTAGTTAATGGAAACCCTCACATATGTGAAGTATCAGGGTTCTCAGTTAAATGTTACAGATTCATGAATTTAAACGGACAGTAAGATGGGAAGTCAAAATTAATCTACAGCATGCAGATGTGCATGTCTGGATGTCGAATAGTGATTTATGAACAAATGACACGCTTGTGCGCAATATCCTTCAATGAATCCGATCCTAAATGAACTGAACACCAGAGGTTCTGGGTTCTGTTTATACTCTAGTGAATATGAGATCTGTCTCTTCAGCAGTGTTTAGAGAAGGAGAGATTGGACGAATGATGGCGGCATTATGTCAGAGTTGCACACAAGTCTCAGTTGACAAAGTGACACAGAGGTTATACTAAAAAAATTGTAACTTTCTAAAGAAAATGTGAGCGCTTACCGATGCAAAACAAAACGGTTCAAAACCAACAAAAAGCTGTTTGGTTTCAAAGTTACTTCTGTGCAAGCTGTGCTTAAAATCGCTTATTCCTCACAAATCGCTTTTTCCTCACTAAACTTCACCAAACTTTTGCTTATGGAACTGCAATAGAAGTCTATTGCTGTCAGTTTTATCACAAATCTTTTAAGTGCTTCTCAACAAACGGCATGATTTGAGGCATCTTTCATGTTCATAGCACAAACAGTGAGGGACAAATTATGAGCCTTAATACACAGGGTTAAGGGTTTGTTTAAATCTCTAACCTTAAGAATGAACAACAATATGCTTGCCTTAGCCAAATAATGAAATCCCATTTGAGCAATTACAGGGAGTGTCTATTCCCATTTGTTCTTATGATCCAAACACAAAGGTAAACTTCAAAGTAACCATCTTCTAATAAAGCTGTGTTTTTGCTATTTCTGATTCAGTCCGACTCCCTGCACAGACGCTCTCTATTAAACAATAGAACAAACTTGGCTTTTGTCTGTCTGAGAAATCTTAGATATGGAAAAAGCAGACTTCCCACTTCTCTTATAAAATAAAGCTTAAGAAAACAGGCATTGTTCAGGTACAGACGGAGAGAGACAGGAAATGTGTCTATTTTCAGTGGGGTAGCATACAGGGGTCAGCAGCAACATTTTCCTTTCGGTTCTTTTGAAAGACTGCACAGAAGACAAAAACAAACCACTTGATTGAGTTGAGTTTTCAGTCTGACACTTGCAGTTTATTTCTCAGATTACACACGGGAATTGGTTCATGTGTCATCAATGGGCCAAGCATCTGGTTTTAGTTTGTTTGTGACAATGAGCTTTGAGAACTTCTAGAGAAGTTTTTCCATGATAAAACTAAATGCAGCTATAAAATGAACTCAATCTGGAGTCAGACTGGTGAGGACTTCACATGCATTTTTAACGCAAACTGCCCTACATCCATGACAGACTGGTCTACGTTGCCCTGCAGCACTGGAAAGCATTTACCAGACTTGCTTCAAACCCTTTTCCTTTGTTTACGGATGTGTCTCCCTTCCCACAGGATTAGAAAACAAAAAGAAGGAGCAAAGAGTTGGACAAAGTTCTCCGCTCTTTAACGATCACTTCATTTAGAGCTGTGAAAAGTGATTACCCAGGTCAGGGAAAGCAGGAATTAACCCTTGACTTGCCGTGTCAGAAAATGCTATAAGAGATAAAATCAATCCAGGGGCTCAGTGCACATTGGCTGAAGCCAATTTGAGCTAATGGGAAGAATGACCGGACAGGAAAAGATGACCTAACCTTGTTCCCATGACCATGATGAACAACCTACATTCACTGGCATGGGACGTCATAGTGTACATACAGTACAACAGGGTGTGGTAAATGAAATAAACATACCATCCTCACTGGTGTGGGTCTCTGCTCCTCCATCCTGATCAACCTCCTCAAGAGCTCCATGTTCACTGTATGGACTCTCACTGCAGAAGATAAGAGGAAATAAATCAAGACTATTATTTGACCTATTATAACTATTTTTTTAAAACATAGCAGATTGTGGCATTTACAGCATCTGTAAACCAAATATTTAATAGTCACATGAGCTTAAAAACCTTTTGTTCTAAAATAAGTTTTGTAGATGATTAAAATAGCTTTGATTTGTTTAACATTTATTAGCATTTATTATGCAAATATTAAGATGCAAATACACTACCATTTTGGGGTCAATAATGTTAGAGAAGATTTCTATTTCTTTTGCTTTGTATTCATCAAAGAATCCTGAAAAAAATGCATCACGGTTTTCACAAAAAAATATTTTAAAGCAGCTCAACTGTTTACAACGTTGACAATAATAAAAAATGTCAGAAAAGCAGCAAATCAGCATAGTAGAATGATTTCTGAAGGATCATGTGACACTGAAGACTGGAGTAATGATGCTGAAAATTCAGCTTTGCATCACAGGAATAAATTACATTTTAAAATCTATCAAAATAGTTATCTTAAATTGTAATAACATTTCACAATTTTACTGTTTTTACTGTATTTTTAATTTAAAAAATGCCACCTTGGTAAGCTTAAAAAACTTCTTAATATGACACCCAACTTTTGAATAGTAGTGTATGTATGCATTCCCTACACAAGTAACTGCATACACAGGGTTAAATCACAGCCAGTGTAAAACTCCGCATCAAGCAAAAAGTACAGAGGCTGTCATTAGTATTCAGGAGGAGTCAGGCAGGGTGATTGGGATTCTGTCAGTGGCACAGCGTGGTTACTGAGACTGGCACTAATGCCCTTCACATCCTTGCAAATTACCTCTGACACACAGTAAAGCCATTTTAAACAAGAGCACTGCCACTCACGCATGCCACACTACCAAAGGTGAAAATATGAGAACCGGCTTCAGCAAGTTTAAGAAGGGTGGATGTAATATCTGAAATGCTCAAGTACAGATGCTTGCAGTGGCAGGTGTTTTGCTTCCGTTTGGGGGATGAAGACTTGTGGGAGTTGGGCTGCTCTCTTTGAGACAACAAAATCACTAGCCAACACATACACACAGCTGTGGAGCTGGCGGAAAATGTCTCTTTCCTCTTCTCATCTATGTGAATTTCAGGGAGGAATGAGCGTTGGTTTGGCTGCCGATCTTTCCTTACCTTAATGGTGGTAATTATCAAGATGGTTTCAGTCTGTCTCACCTAGTTGAAGATCTCCGAACCCTTTCGGCCTCTAAAAAATGTCCCACCTTCACTAAAGAGCTCACTATCGGCACCTCATCTTTTCACATAATTACCCACACCGAATCCAAACACGGTTCAGATGCAGCTGGGACCGTCACTCTTTAGATCCAGACACACATACCTGTGATATTCAGTGCGTTTTAAAAACAAACCTTTGGCCTTGAGCCCGGTATATCCTCACAGAGAAAGAATGAGAAATACAAGGCCAGTTTTATAACACAAATTTCAGCTAATTTATAGTTTGGAAGAAAATAACCATCACAAATATTACACCGAGTTTCTTTGAAGGGATAATTCACCCAAAAATGAAAATGTGGAACACACTGTCTATTCAATGAAAGTCAATGGGGTCCAAAACAACAATGGCCCGTATTGACTTTCACTGAGTGAAAGGGGAAAAAATGATTATTATTATTATTTTCAAAATATTTTTTTTTTTGTGGTCCACAGAAAGTCATAAAGGTTTGGAATGATATGAGAGTGACAGTGTTGCTGAAACTAAAACCACTGCATTTTTGGAAAGTGAAATAAAGCTGAACTAACATAAAAGTTATATTTAAATATTACATGGAAAAATGTTTGCCAAATCAAAATTTAAATTTTTTTTTTTATTTCCGGTTGAAGCACTAAAATTACCAAAACTAATTGAAATAAAATTAAAGGCAAATAAATATAAAACAAAAATTTATAAAAAATACAAAGCACAATACAAAATTACTAAAACTTAAAATTAAAATGAAAACTGAAAATATTAAAAGGCTACTTTCAAAACATGAATAAATAAGATATCAGTATAAATAATTATAAAATGATGCTGCATAGTGAGTAAATGATGACAGAATTTCCGTTTTTGCATGACTGTCCCTATAAATGATGCATTTTTGACCTGTATTACTTTTCTTCCAAATCTTTTATAAGGATTTATGCTCCTCTTCTGGATCAACTAGACCTGATCTTCAAAACAAAGAGGTCACACCCTAAAACTGTACTAACAAAATAAGTGACTCACTATAGCGCTGACTAATAATTTCTTTTATTTCACTCAAGTCACGCCATGGATGTCCGGATACCACTACTAATCCTCAAAAATACAATAAAGTCTAAAACTTTAACAAGCTCAAACACTGTCTCGATTCTCATCACCCACCTACAAGCAGCTGCCCAGACAGTTATCACTAAATAATTAAAAACAACATCAACTCATCACAGCACTCACCAATAGTCTCCGCCTGCCATACACTTCTCGTACATGGGGCCGTCAAGCTCCTTCGCGTCAGGAAAGATGGTCTCGTGATGGATGATGATGGTTTTGATGACCTCATTGACATGGGCCTGGCAGGAGACCTGGTCCTGAGTTTCTGGAGTGGGCATGAGGGTGGGGCCAAAGCAGATGGCCAGATTATAGGGGTCCATCATATTTTCATCGCTGTACTGGGACAAGCTGCAAGGAAAAACAAGCAAGCTATTAGGACAACTGACAACCAGCAAGTCTGGTCTCAGAATTTCTTAAAGATATGGAACGAGAAGTGATTCTGTAATTCTCAGTCAAGTAGCGTATTATATCATCAGCATTTCCGATGTCACTTCATGCCTTTTTAAAGCTTTCTGTGTGTTTGTGAGACATTCAGACTTACTGGTTGAGGAAGGCGAACAGATATCGCATGACCACGAGCACTGATCTGGGTACAGGCAGCAGGATCTTTCGTATATACAGCGATCTCTCATACAGATTGTCTATTCCTACAAAAGAGGGAGAAAGAGTAAAAAATATAGTAAATATATATATAGTAGATATCTTACAGGATTCTGCAAGTCTCCCACTCAGAGGATTTATTTAGCCTTATTTGGTTTAACATGACACGTCAATGCTGACATTCACATTCATGTAGAGAAAGTGTAGCAGTCCTGAAAATGTATTTGTCTTGCCATGACATTCAGAAATGATTATTCAGGGCCGCCGTTGTCATCCAAGACACTTAACAGCCTTGAGTATCTTATGACATGCCTCCATCTGAAAGTGTTAATTCACTGATAACCACATCACTTCAGCTCTATTCATAGAGTTACAAGGCTGAGCTCATTAAATGTTGAAAAAAACAAACAAACTTTGGAACACTGTTCAAATGCACAAAGTTAAATTATGTGCCAACCGTGTCATTTTGCAAACAAACATTTCCAATAGCCAAGTCTTACTGGAAAACAAGTTCACTTCTTTTTGAACTTGTTGCAGTGTTGTTAACTAAAACTATTAAAATATTTTTGAAAATATTACAAATATTTTCTGAAATTGTACACGCACACATATATATATGTATGCATTAGATGGAAAACGTCAACTTAAAAAACTTTCCTCGGAACATAAGTTAAAGACAAAGTACTAAATGAATAAGACTGAAACAAAAATATTATATAAAATACAAAAAAACTAATAAAAATGACAAAAGCACATAAGAAAAAAATACTAAACAAATTAAAATGAAAACTGAAAACAAAGGAAAAAATAAAAGCTCATTCAAAATAAACATAAAAAGACAAATAATGCTGAAATAGCACTGATTTGTTGCTTCAAATTGCCCATATATATAAATTGCCCAAGTCGTCTGTAACCAGGGACATGGCAGATACAGGTATGTGTATCTGTCACACACTCTCTGATTCAGTGTTTTAACCACCACAAAGAGTGAATTTAAAAAACAAGGCAATTTACTTGAGTTCATTTAAATTAATTGGCAGGTGTGCCGGCCCTCACCCTGGACCGAATGAAGCTGATTACAAGAGCATTAAAAGAGGTAAAGTCTAAAAAAATATTCAACTCCTCTTTTTAAAGAAGCTTAAAAATTCATCCAGAAGACTGGCATCCCAGAAATGTGTGTGAGTATTCCTGCGGCTCTCCTTCAGGAATGTACACAGATTTCACTGGGTTTTCTCCTTGGAGGCATTATAACTCACTTCCTGTCCTCTCTGGAATTCCATTACGGATCTTTGTGGTCTCCTTAGCATAGTCCTCTCAGGCTGTGTTTGGAAGCATACTATTCTACTATCACTATTTCATGGCTGGACATAATAACAGTTGTGATATTTCTGATTTCTTTCTTATTTTACCATTTGATCCGACTGCCAAGACATTTCTACCAAAATTGTTTTAAAAAGCCAACAATTGGATGTGACTGGCTGATTTAAATTACTTGACAATTACTTTTGCACAGAACTATCTAAATGTTTGTGTACTGTTGCACATACTATTTTTCAAAATATATAAAGTGCATACTACACAGTATGCTACTAGCTCATTCCAAACATAGCTTCAGATTAACCACTAGATCTTGACCCCATCGGATCCCACGGGTTGGCTGTGAGACACACACAGTTCTTATAAAAGCAAAATCAGCCTCTGTAGAACAGAATTAAAAACTGATGTGACCTGGTCTCATCCATAGCGCACACAGATCCCCGACTCATCCTCTGATAGCAGCTTAAAATAGTCATGTCACCATTAAAAGATCTAGGCTTTTGGGAATATGCTACTCGTGTTATTCGTCTTACTTCAGCACGAAACTGGGTTTGCAACACGAATCCTGAGCAAGAGAAGCAATTTAAAGACAAGGCACATGTCTGCAGAAACACAAATCAAACTAATATCCTACAGTGCAGTGAACACACAGCTCTGACAGTCTAAATATAGATCTGCCGTGGACAGAGAACAGGAGAGGCCGTGTGTTGGAGGGAGTGTGTGGTATGCTGGGAAAGGGTAAGTCGTGTGTAAATGTAAACAGCAGGGAATCCCCATTAGTCACACTCTACAGAATGTCACAGGCACACGGCCGCACATTGGTCGGGTATGTATGAACACACGCCTCGACATTCCTCCACACGCACAGACAAACAAAACCCACACATGCAAGCTCACAGGCCCTTCATCTAGCGAACTCTGTGGCTCGATTATCTTGACATGTGGCCAAATATTTAGAAAGGCCTGCCATGTAAAGCTACAAGCGATATTTTTATGCTAAAAACTTTTTTGCATGTCAAAATAATTTTTTTACATGGCAGGTAAAACATCAAAGTAAAAGTATCCAGGTCTAAAAATGCTAATGGCATTAAACCATTAAGAGCCGGGGGGTGAAATCGTTATGAATTTGAAGATCAGGGTAAATTTAACTTATTTTGTCTACTGGGAAACATGTAACTATCTTCTGTAGCCTCTGAAGAGCAGTACTAAATGAAAAAATATGATATTTAGGCAAAATAAGAAAAATGTACACATCTCCATTCTGTTCAAAAGTTTTCACCCCCTTATTCAGCGCTGCGGATCACAAACATCCCATTAACCCAACAGAAACGACTGAGCATCATGGTGTCATACTTCATTCATTCAATGCAGTGTAGCATCATCTATGATCATGATAAAGCACGCTTTCTGAACTCTTTCAAACTCACACAAAGTTGCATTCATGCCAGTTGAAGGACCAGCTGAAGCCCTAACGTGTCATGCCGTGGTGGAACACACACTGTGCTGTAATGGAGTGTGCATAAGGCTGTTAGCGTTAGCCTGAGGCGCTGGACGTCTTGTCATACAGTGAAGAAAGTCACTGTCCCACTGTTGGGGGCAAATGACTGAGATCTCTTTATGTGAGAGCGCACGATAACAGTTCAAAGCACTGTTAATTCACACTGAGCTGCGGATCACAAACATCCCATTAACCCAACAGAAACGACTGAGCATCATGGTGTCATACTGCATTCATTCATTCATTCAATGCAGTGTAGCATCATCTATGATCATGATAAAGCACGCTTTCTGAACTCTTTCAAACTCACACAAAGTTGCATTCATGCCAGTTGAAGGACCAGCTGAAGCCTTAACGTGTCATGCCGTGGTGGAACACACACTGTGCTGTAATGGAGTGTGCATAAGGCTGTTAGCGTTAGCCTGAGGCGATGGACGTCTTGTCATACAGTGAAGAAAGTCACTGTCCCACTGTTGGGGGCAAATGACTGAGATCTCTTTATGTGAGAGCGCACGATAACAGTTCAAAGCACTGTTAATTCACACTGAGAATCAATGACAGATTTACAGCTGCAGGTCAATAGAAAGCAAAAAAGAAAAATGAGGCACTTACTGACACAAGAGAGGAGATCATTGAATCTTTCCTTTGGAAACAGTGGGTTCTCCAAACATCGAAAGTAGAGTTTCAAAACCCCCGCAACAGAGTTTATATCGTGGTTATTCTCTTCATCTGTCAGGGGATCGTTACCTAAAAGGTATAATGTGTCAAATATGCTGAACAAAATATTTATATTTAAAATATGTGCACACCCAAATAACTGAAAACTTCTAATAAACTATTTTGGTTTATCTTGACATTCAAGAAATGCTGATGTGGATCTATATAAATAAAAAGAAAAATGTCAAGACATCTAGATGTTTTTCCAAGGAAGGATGTGTCCTTAAATCATGTGAATTCATGGCTCATATGACTCATTGAAGACATAAGAGATTCACTATTATTCAGCAGCGACAGCACTTTTGAAGCTATTTCAGAAACCTGAACTCTGTTACCACACACCTACCTCTCTCAAAAGAGTTCTTGATATCATTGACTTCAACTTGAGATCCAGACACTCTGAATATTCCTTGATGCTGAAGGCCTTAAAAATAGAGACAGAAACTGTGAAATAACTGCTTAAATAAGACGTCTTCCAGTGTCCATTTAAATCCGCTGGAAATAAAGGCCGGTCCATCGTAACCACAGACAAATCCCAACCTCAAAAGCTAAGCCCTGTGCTTTTGAAAAGTTCCCTTTTTCTAATTAAAGATAATGAATGAAGGAGAGAGAGTGCAAGCAGCTTTTACAAAAACATCCGTCAGTCCGGATTAGCTTTTAATGGAAAGCTTGGCTGAGGGTCAGAAAAGATTAATTAAAAACTTCTCTATAGTTCCAGTAAGACGGCCACACACAGACATCTTTCAGAGCTTACAATAGACACACAGGATCTACAATAGTTTACACAGACATATGATAAAGAACTTTTTGGACTGAACATCCTCTTGACATTGACAGGAAAGCACATAATTTAAAACACAACTTCAAATAGATCTAAAACAAGTCTGTGCATGGCCTAGACTAAGATGGGACGGATTCGGAAGGGGTGCGCAAAAACATGACCTAGCCAGACTCTAAATCAGTCCCAAACTTCAGGACAGGTAGCAATTGGATGATTAGACAAGTTTGAAGGCAATAGCATAACTGTTAACTTCATCTGTAGACTTTTCGGGTGACAATAGTGTGCTGTTTTTAAGGAATGGTTTAAGTTGCAAGGCCATTACAATATAACTTACCATACAGGTTGATGAATCGAATACAACTCTCAACAACTCTTGGTATTGCTTGTCCAGAGTCCTTAAAACAAGACAAACATTGGCAGTAAATCAGGATGTGTGCTAAACAATCACTCTAGCTCTAAATCAACTGAAAATATCCCACACACCATGTATCATTCATGTCGGAGATGAGAAGATAATCCTTCTTGAGCCTCAGACCCTTTTTAAAGTGCACACCTAAGATTATGTGCCTTATCCTGTCTCAGACAGGAAATAAAATGACAACTTAGATCTGCGTGCTAACATGGTTCTTGAACATGAATGAAGCCAGTGCCACCGTGGAAAAACTGAAATGCTTTAGTGAATCCTGCTATGTGACCGTGGCTGCCTGTTTTGTGGGGTTAGAGCTATTTGTTCAGCATTTGGCAGCGCTAGCTCTTACAAGCTTTTAAAAAATAATGTTATCTGCTTTTAACCCAGGGAATGTGCCAAGTCTGAACACTGTGAGCGTGCCAGGAACAGAGGCAGACCTCACAGGCGCTACATTTCCCAGCTATGATCAGCAATATGGTGAACACAAAATGTACTGCCGCAAACATGTTTAATTATTAATACTGATACAAATTCATAAATCATAATCGAAACATAGATGGAAAAGACAAGGAATGCTGGAAAACTATCTCTGCATTTTATTGTGCAGAACGTTTACTTTTAATTTATATGAAAAATGTTACAATAATCCAATAATTAGTTATGTTTTTTTTTTATTAACCACTTATTTCCTTATTTTTCACATATTCATTGTTGTATTCAAAATTTTATATTAATACATTTAATATTTAATAAAATCTTAATTCTATAAATTACTTTTTGGCCTGTGTAAAGCACTATACAATTCTAGTGTGAAATGTATTATTATTATTATTAATTGTAAAAAGTTATTTAATTTGTGGGATATTCTCTCCATTAAATGAAATAAATCATAATTGTGTGCATTAGGGTCACTGAAGCCAAAAAGGATGAACTCTTGTCAAGCATATGGACACATATACTTTGGGGTCCAAAAGTCTGAGACCACTAGTGAAAATGCTTCTATTTTGCACATTGATCATTTAATAAAAAATGTTTCCTTACAAATTATATTGTCATAACAATTAATTGAAAAATATTTTGTGATAAATATTTCATATTCATTCAAGTTTTCGTAGTTTCCTCGTACCCAGTTTTAAATAGAAAACCCAGAATCTGTGCAGTCTCAGACATTAGGACACCACTGTACATGGTTCACACCTCCTTAGGATTAAGCAAAGGTCACTGGAAGTTGAACTACTGGAAGCTTAGAAAGACATGCAGCAATGAGCTAATTAGGACAAGCCGACTGTTTCTGTACCTGGTGCCTTGTGTGTGAGTTCCGTCGTCCACGACTATGAGAGAAGGACAGCAGAACGAGAGGACAGAGAGCCAGAGAGTGAGAGAGCAGAAAAACAGAGAGAAAGAGGCGATCCCCAGGTTATTTGGTCCCAGCACTACAAGCCACCAACAACAGCCTACAAAATCATTATTAGTCTTCCAATGACACCATTAGCTCCA